CTTTCTAACCCTGGAGCTATGCAAAAACTAGGAATAGAGCTGTAACACTGCTACTTAGACTTACTTTAGTTTAGAGTTACTTCAGACTTTAGTTTTAGCCTTAGACCCAAGCTGTTGCAGCACTGGTGCCTGTTCCGAAAAATAACATCAAAATTACCTTCCCATGGAAAGTATAGATTTTCGCAAACTCTACTTAAAACATAGCCCTGAAATCAGCCCATAAAAATTGTTCGCTTTTTCGTCTGCTGGACGCCCATTCAATTTCGTTTTGCTGGATGAAGTAGCACAGTTTGAGGAGGGAGGATGGTGAAGGGGCGACGGAGGGAGGGGGGAGGAAAGTTACCGGTGCCATTTTGCTTCATATTGTTAACACCGTAAAACTGGGCACACACTCACCTTAAAATATTCCAATTTCAGAAATTCCGGAATGCTGGCAGTTTTACAAACCCGGAACATATTGTTCAGTATATCATCCGACGAGTAGCCCATCCGATAAAGATTATGCACAATCTCACATGCTGGAATGACCTCACTTCGAACACAGTGCTCGATCATTTGCATCACAATGGATGGATGGGGCTCATCGCATACCTGAATTCTCAGTTATTTTACCTCATCACATGCAAAACCCAGGCTGGAACGCACCAGGTTCTGCGGTGCGATCATGCGTTTTTGCACTAAACTCGCAGATCGTTATTAGCAGGAATGATCCCTAGGCTGTAGCCTAACACTTGGGTCATACTGGCGTGCTTTGATCCTTTCCGGCATACAGGAGGAAGGGCGTCAGTTGGAATGAAGGTGATGCATTATAGAGCCGCACGGACATCCAGGTGCATGATTGTCGTTTTTTTGCATGAAGTCTGGTCGTTTTTTTCGGTAAATGCTCGCTTTGTGAATAAACCGACAAACGCAAATTTTTTGAAAAAATGCAAATTTCCAGTTCACTGAAAAGTGGAAGTATTGCTCGGGCAGTCGTTTGTCAAAAAATCCATGTTCCGCACGGACATCCAGGTGCATGATTGTCGCTTTTACATATACTACTGCGGTTCAGGTCCGAGTTGCGAACGATTTTTGGGTTGAGGAGCTGCTTGACGCTGTAGTTGGGGGGCTCGACAGCTGAGTTTAAAATCTTTAGCTCGCACGCATATAGAGAATATCCCTGCAAAGTTTCAGCTTTCTAGCTTGCCTGGTTCGCAAAATCGTTTCCCGCCAACATATTTCTTTGGGAGTCGCGTGCGCGGGGTGTAAACGCGTATGGGGAAAGATCTTAAAACAAGAGGATGACACACAGGGTAGGAACATATATCCAAAGTTTCAGCCTCCCAGCTTGCCTGGTTGCTGAGATGAAAATGAGTGACAAAATGCACTCGCTTCCGAGCACACACACAGATAGCCTCTCGACAATATGCTTTCTTGCTGGCTGTAGCGCTGCACAGCAAAAACGCATAAAAAGGAATAGTACTGTTGCTAGTATGACATTTGTTTTTTTCAATTTCCCGTGCCTCTGCGCTCCCTCACTTACCGTGAATGGAGATCCGAGTGGCTTGTTGGTGAACCTGGTATTCGTTCCGGCGGTTTCCTTCATTCTTTGGTAAAAAAAATGTTAGATTTACTGCGTTATTTTTTGCTTATTGTCATTCCCTGGGCTCTTCGCATCGATTTTAGTCAATAATGAGACGAGGGGGGAGGGGGAGGGGAGC